TTTTTATTTTAAAAACTTTCTTAGAAAATCTATTTATTTAGAACATTTTATGAAATCTTTAGTTTGAGTTCAAGCACACTCGAGAGTATGCCTGAATCCCTCAAACCAAGGCTCTAATACCATTGTATCATCCCCCTCTTGTATGTATCACAACATTGTCCGCTTTAGGCTCCAGACGCGAAAACTTCCCAAGGGGTCATCCATACCTGAATTGTTCTCGCGCGGACACACTTAACTTCGGAGTTCTTATGGGATTTGATGCCCTCACGGATTTAAAATATGTTGTGACAAGGAAGATATCTACACCCCTTATAAGGAAATGCTTAGTTGTAACACCCTGTTTTGGGTCCTTTTATAATTCAGGATCGTGAACCAAAGATCAGGTATCATAAGGCTTCAGGCTTTGGTATCAAAAGGTTTAGACCCATTCGAATGTGGGTAATGTAAATTGTATGATCCCAGAGTTCAGTTTTTGCTATGGAGTCAAAGTGTAAACTAAGAAAGTATTGTTTCAAACTTATTTTATGAATTATGGATTTTAGTCGATGTGTTTTAAGTCAAAATTAATTAGATAGGGTTATAGAGCTCCTCAATACCTTTCCATGGATATAAAGAACGCAAAATTGGAGTTGTAAGGAAGAAGTTATGAACGTTTGTAGTTTGGATGTTTTTAGGTTAAGCTGAGTATGATGGGCGTACAAGGGGGAGTATGTTGGGCGTACTAAGGCATCCTGAGTACGTTGGGCGTACTAGGAGTACGCAGGGTGTATGCGATTAGTGTCTAAACCCTATTTTCGTGGTTGGATCCCTATTTAAGCTCCTAAAATCCCCCAAAACCATTCCATTCTCAACCTCCACCTCTCCAACACCCCTATCATGAAACCCTAACCATAGTTGAGCCTTGTGAGCTAAAAAAAGGTGTTTTGATTGTTTTGGAGTATGCATGATGCACCTTGGAGAAGAAGGATCTTCTTGGATAAGTGTTAGTTGCATTGGAGCTTGTAGATATGGACCTTTTTCACCTTGATCTATCTTCTAGAGGTATAAAGTTTTAATCTTGATGATGCATTTATTAGATCTAGCTAGTTTTGGATGTTATGAGCTTTTGGTTATTTTAGTGCATAAAGTTTAGATCTAGAAAGTTTGTGACCTTGTTACGGATAAAGTTGGAAAACTTATCCCTCTAAACATCTTTGTGATTCAGATCTGATGGTTGGAGACTTGGACTTAATGGATTAAGTTAAAAAAATATGCACTTTTGGTCCCTTTGATGCTTAAATGATAGATATTGGTGGTTTAGACCATTCTAACGGATAAAGTTGGAAACGTTATCCATTATGGAGCTTTTAGGATCCATAAAAATGTGATCTTGATCCTGCCATACCTTCCATGAAAGTGTCATGATGTATTAATGGATTATTAAGTTAAGGTTTTGGATATTGGACCTTTTCTAGGAATGGAAAGTCATAATGGTGGAAACTTTATGACTTAAAATGATGTTGTCGGACAAGATCTAAGTATTGAATGAGAGGACTTAAGAGATTAAGCACTTAGTGGAAAAGTGCCTTTTGGCCGAGTACCTCGGGCATACCTTCGAGTACGTTGCGTGTACTTGTATAGGGTCCCGATTCTGGATGGTGAGTATGTCATGCGTACGAGCTGAGTACGGTGGGTATACTCAATCTGAAGTTGACTTGTTGACTTTGACTTCCATTGACCATTGACTTTTTGACCAAGTTCGACCTTAGGTCAAAATTAAGGGTTTTGTGTTATTATATAGGATTTTATTTGGTTCTAGTATTAGTGTATTTGCGGGTGCGAGCAATGCAAAAAAGTGATCATGTCATAGTGTTTCAGGGTTCTTCGATTCATGTGATTCTTCTCCTGGTGCTCATGAGTCGAAGGCACCAACATGGGCTCAGTAAATTGTGTATGTTGGATGCTAGCTATCTTTGTGACTCTCACATGTTTGTATGAGCTTGTGTGGTAGAATAGTTGTATTTGTGATGACCAATTAGGTCTAGATGTTATTATTGTGTTATGTTGTTCATATGTGACTGAGATTGCTGATAGTCTCCAGGGTTGTTGATAACCTATCGGGCATGCTGTTAGCCCACTAGGACTACTGATAACACACAACTATTTGATTGTGTTGTGTGTGGTAATTTTGGGAACTCAATAAGCTTTTTTCTTACGATTTGTGGCTTACATGTTTCAAATTTTCTTATATTAAAGGAAGAGCATAGCTCGATTGCATTGTATCAATAGGGGACTTGTGTACTTGATAACTTTTAATGACACTCTGATAAATATTTTAAAATCTTGCAGTTGTGAATTAAATAAATACTTAAAGTTTTAATCGAAAAATTTGTGTTGAAATTTGGGGCGTTACAAGTTGGTATCAGAGATGGGGCACGGGTCAATGTTTTCAACGGGGACGTCGAACCTTGTAATGGGGGGGGGGGGGGGGGGTTGAAATTGGGTTGCACCTTATCCCCCATCAGCTTTGAAGGAAAATAAAACATTTCCTTATAAGGGGTGTAGATACCTTCCTTGTCACAACTCATTTTAAAGCCGTGAGAGCAGCAGATCCCATAAGAACTCTATAGTTAAGCGTGCACGAATGAGAACAATTCAGGGATGGGTGACTACTCTGGGATGTTTATGCACCGGGAGCCCAAAGTGGACAATATTGTGATATGTGGAAGAGGGGGATGTTACATTATTACCATAAAAATTCTCATATTTACATGAAATGTGTGGTTATGTCCTAAGTCTAAAGTTGTGTTCATTAATGCCTCAATTATGTAGGTTTTATCATTTTAGGCTTTTTATCAAGTTGTGAAGAGAAAGAACAGTAGGTGAATGATAGTGATGATGGTGGGTTGAAGATGATGAATGCAGAAGGTGGGTTCTAGATGGTGCTGATGGGGGCTACTAGTGTTTTGTGGTGAAGATGGTGTTGTTGGTGGCAAGGGGGTTTGGTGATGACAGAGTGTGGTGGTGGTGATGTGTAAATATGAGGGATTCTATGGCAATAATGACCGACTAAAAGGATGCAAAACCTGATAAAATGTTAAAATGAAATGTTTTTACAAATACGAGGCAGTATTGAACATAGATACAGACTTTTGTTGATTTGTGGTAAGAAATGCGTTTCTAGGCCACATAATGTGTATAATGAATCTCTATTTAGGAATAACAGCCTCTAATAAGCTTTTATTTACTAAGGTCGTTTGATTGTAAAAACATCTTCGTTAAGTTGTAGTTTTATAGTAAGCGTTTTACACCAAAACCTAAATATTCAACAATGAAGTAGCATTTGGCCTAAAAATGCACTTCTTGCAACAAATCAACAAAGTCTACTTAAGTTATATAGAATATAGATGGTATATTTATGATTGTAGTAGTGATATTTATTAAATAAAATCATTTTTTTTTCAAAAAATGATATATAAATCACCCCATGACACTTCCTGAAGCACAAACATGATAGACCACAATTGTTCCACGCACAAACATGATACACCAGCTGACAACACTTCCTGAAGCCTTCCAGACAATATCATTCAAACATCCATCTAAGGGCATCCATAATCCATTGAACTCTATAGAGTTCAATGGATTGCCACATCATCCTTTAAACATTTATACAACATCACCCATAACTCATTAAAAACCTATTTAATCCAAATCACCACTTTATTCATTGTATTGAACCATTTAATGATCATTCAAATCTTCCCTTCAACTCTACTCCATGTTATCACATACACTCCATTCAACTCTTATTCAATCTTAGTCATCATCCTATTCAACTCTTATATTACTTGCATTGTAGATGGTATAAGGATTGGTTGATGGACACAAGAGCTTTTACTCATCTCTCATCATACATAGATAATTAATCACAATTTTATTTTAAAGCGAATTATCAAGTCAATCCTTGTTGGTGATGGTGGTGGGTGAGTATAGTCTTGTAGCATCGATGGATAGTTTTGTTCTCAAATTGGAAGGTGACCTTGCTGAACCCTTCACTAAAATTTAGCCACCAGATGGTAGGTGACAAAAACGTATCCAATCTATATCAATGACGGATGTTGCGATGTTTGAACAATTTTTTCTTTCTAATTTATATGTATTTTTATGGTTTGATATTGATGTGTTTTGTATCTCGTTCTTTATTATTATTATTATTATTATTATTATTATTATTTTGGGAAAGGTGATGTACATCTCCACAAATATATTCCAAAAAACACAAATTACAGAGTTATATCAAAAGATTTGTACACAATCCAAAAAGTTAAATAAACCAAAACATCTCACAAATACCAAAAAACTTGTTACCAAAAATAGCAACAAACTCTAACGGTGATGTTACCTAAAAATACCTCCAATTTCGTACAATTTTCTCCATTGCAAATTTATCCTATCTTCTTTTATTTTTCAATCCTTAATTAATCCACTAGCCAAATCAATTACCTGGATCGGTTTGTTGATTATGGGCTCCTAAAATTTTTGATTAGCAACAAATATGGACAGCTTAGCGACGGGTTAGTGACAAGTTAACGACCGATTAATGACGGAACCGCGATGGAACAACACCCCGCATGTGCTCAAGATCGGTCCCATCAATTACTTTAGCTTGAGTTTTTATCCAAGCCCTTTGTCGATCCAAATCAGCACCCATTTTAATAACTTGGTTAGCCCATCAAGAATAATAGAAGAGTCCATTCTTATACAACCCACTTTGATTCTCAATTCACACAGTCTTCCAACAGTGGAAGCCCTGTTTTCCTAAAATCATTTTGGTGCTCTTGATTTTCTTCTTCTTTTCTTCGGTAATATGTTTGGTTTTCTTCATGCATGGCTTGTTTCATCGGGTCCATTAGCTACTGGTCCCTAAAAGGGTTCTCTTAATTCCTCTATGATACCATGTAAAATTTGTTTTTTCTTTATTTATACAATGGGTTACAATAATGACCCTAATAATATTGCAAAGAATGATCCCACTAGTTTTGGAGGAGATCAATTTGATCTACGATATATATGACCAAAAATACACGAGAGAAGAATATTTAGTTCCCTTCACATTCTTTCCAAAGGTGATTTGTCATATGATGAACAGAAAGTGATATGCAAAAATACACAAAATTCCCATAAATATTATTACCACATCGAATTACAATAAATGCTGAAATCAGAAGATTGGATGGTAATGGATTTCACCTTTCTGGACACTCAACTTACCTTCTTTTTATTGTAACAGTAGTACACATTAACTATTTAGCGATAATCCTCTATCAAAAGTAGAGGGTTGCATCAGATAGTCTTTGAGAGGGTATAGCTATTAGTGGTTTCCTTTTCTTAGTCACCGATCCAAATTCGTCAGAAAGCTCAAACTCTTCATCTTCAGGCAAGCTCCAATCAAACGAGTGCAACAGTGATGCTAATATATACATCAACATCTTCTCCCCAAGGGGGATTCCTGGACATATTCTTCTCCCTGATCCAAATGGCAAAAACTTGAAATTATTTCCATGGTAGTCCCATTTGTCGATCAAGAACCTCTCAGGCTTGAACTCCAATGGATCGGTCCAGTTCTTAGGATCATGATGGATTGCCCAAACATTAATATAGACGATAGTACCCTTTGGAATGGTGTATCCACCAACAGTGCAGGATTCATCTGGGCATCTCTGGACTAGGAGAGGAGCTGGAGTGTGTACCCTCATTGTCTCCTTGATGACTGCATCCAAATATGTTAATTTGGGCAGATGAGATTCTTCGACAACGTTCATGCCAATAACACCCGTTAATTCATCCTGCACCTTTCTCATTACACCTGGATTATTCAAAATCTCTGTCATCACCCATTCTACCATTGTCGATGTTGTGTCTGTAGCCGCAAGCACTATGTCCTATTATAGTACAGTTTCCCTTTATTAGTTTGTCTTGTGGAATAAGTGCTGTTTGTAGTAATAGAAAAAACTAACACGTGTAAAGGGAGACTTACCATTAGTAGGGCCTTTATTTTAGTGATGTCTAATGATATTGCAGCATCTTTCTCTTCTTTAAGCTCCAGTAATACTTGCACGAAATCCTTCCTTCGATCTTCCTCAGCTTCTCCTTCATTTTTTCTGGAGTTCGCTTCGATTCTTCCTTGGATAATGTTCTCGAATATACGATCAACATACTCCAGTTGCTTCTGCATTTCTCGCTGCCTTCCTTGTAGATCGAATCGTGATAGCTTAGGTAGAAAATCAGAGATGTTTGAAGCTACCATTAACTCCACAATCTTGAACTCAACTTCTCGGAAGCCATCTCCAATAGAGCTAGAATCGTTCCCATCACCAGATAATTTGCTACAACCCCATAACATGCTTGTCACGACGTTAACCTCAGTCTTGAAAGCAATTTCATTAAGGGAAAATGATTTACAAGCCCAACAAAGTTTTTAAATTGTTCAAAAAACTTCAATCATGTTTTTTCTGTCCAAAAAAACTCAACGAACTTAACATTTTGTCTAAAAAGCCCAACTAAATTATACTTTTCTGAAAGTTAAATAAGAGAAATAGATGACGTGGCTTATTACCGTATCGGGAAATGATTTGTTAGATCAACAAAGTTTCCAAAACGTTTAAAAAACTCCAATCATGTTTTGAGTGTTCAAAAAAAACCTCAATAAACTTAAACAAAACAAAATTGGGATTTTTTGAACGGTTTGGAACTTTGTTGGATTTTTTAGACAAAAAGTTCAGTTCGTTGAGTTTTTTTGAACAGACAAAACATTATTGAGATTTTTTGAATGGTTTGGAAACTTTGTTGGACTTTTAAATCATTTTCCCTTTCATTAATATTGATCTTTGTCCCCAACTTACTGGAAACTTCTTTCATCAGCCTTCTCACTTCATATGTTCGGAAACTCTCACAAGCTTTGAGATTTGTATCGCTCATAACTTGGGTTGCTAAAATCTTGCGCATGTTACGCCAGTGTGTGTTGCTGTTGGACCATATAATATCGTTCCCACCATAACTCATGGTTAGTGCTGTTAATGGAGGACAGCGGTTCGCCATGGTTTGGTCCAGATCACGAGTCACGGCCTTTACTAGGTCCATGGAGTTGACCACAACATGAAGCTTTCTTCCGAGAAGGAGACTGAAGATGGGGCCATATCGATCAGCCATCTCCGTGAATATTTCATGCAAGTTGGAGCCGAGAAACGGGAGATACCCTACAACAGGTAAGCCGTAGGGACCTGGTGGGAAGGGTGGCATGCGCTTTCTGGAATACGAAACTGTCCATTTGTACCATAGAAGTAGGAGTGTCGGAATTAAAATGGTTAGAAGTGTGCGGGCGAGATTGTCTAGCTGATTGTCGACTTCCCACCACCATAGCAACAAGGTGTTGATCCGCAGATAAATCTTATATCCAAGTTTTGGTATCATTTTTGCTGCAAAAAGTGCATGTGCTAGTGATGTCGAAGCGTGCTTGTTATATAGCTTGGATCAGGACGGTTGGTGCTCGTTGGTTGATTTTGGACCACGGATACCCCGCAATCACATGGCAGCGTAATTATGTGGTTGTGCTTCGGCTAACCCTAATATATTGTGGTTCACTTATTGAGCATAGCTAGGTACTTTTGAAATTGATGGGAAGAAAAGATAGTTTATTTATTTATTTATTTATTTTATTTTTTTTAATGTAAAATATGTGTTTTTGCTTGGGGCCCATGGTTTATCAACCTTAGAAATAAACAAAATTAGGTTATACATTTTTTTGTGATTTAGCTTGTATCATTATTTTTTATATACTTTTATTATTAACTCTACCTTTTAACAAAATTATATATTATACATTAATTATTTTATTTAAAAATACGTTCATATATTATTTTTAGGAAATTATATTTTTAAATAAATGTAATCAACACCTTCAAATAAAACACCAATATTGAATATATTACATTGTTACGAAATTACAAAACATTTAAATATGAAATTACATTACTAAATAAGGATTAAACAACAATGCAAATTAAACACACATTTAAACACAAGTTAATAAAAGTACATACTTCACATGATATTATACTGGTTGAGAATTTAAACAATTTCTTTGATTATGACTAAGTTGGTGGCATAGTACACATTTGCGAGGTTCGTCGGGGTGGCGAATGTCCATCTCATTATGAAAATGGTTTGAATGTCTCCGACCTTGCTGAATAAAGAGTTTCAAGTAATCTGCTTGAATCTTCCAATCTGACTCTAACCAATAATCAACGTGAGAAAGTGGGACAAAAGGAAAATTATACTGATGTTTATATGTCATTGTAGTGTACACATTATTCACAATAGAAAGAGGGTTATCCCCTCTACACCGACAAACTAAAAGAACATGAGAACACGAGAATCTTTCCATTTACCATTTTCCACATGTGCATGTTTATTGAAAATAATGGACAGTATGTGTATTTCCTTCGGTGCCATTTATCCATAACTTTGTAACAATTCTCTAGACGCCTTCATAGTGATCAAACTCGGTTAAATTATGGCTCTATTCACGAGTGTCCCGATTACAAAATAGACGCTACATACGTGATGGTAGATGTCAAACCCCCAAACCGAGGAAACGAAGGAAACGTCTGGGGGTGGATGATTTCATGTATAATATCATAACAATTGAATAAGAGTGATCAAAGCAAACACAACCATCATATTATAATTTGAAAATAGATACATTGTTGAACGAGTTACATGATTCAAAAACAATTACAATATGATGATATAAGATTGGACTGACGTCTTAGCGTCTCATCTTTAAAAGTTTGTTCTTACCTGTCTTAGTGGTTTCCTAAGAATACAAGTGGTTTAAAAAAGTGTTAACAATTAAGTTGGTGAGTTCATAAGAGTTTGTATGAAAATGTGTAAGACTTTCCTTGTAAAATGATAGTATTTAGTTCCAGAAAATCCAACATTTTCTTAAAATGTGTTGTAGTCTTAAAAACCTTAAGACCAAAATGTATAAGTATCGTCGTACTCGAAAGTAGTATTATGTAGTTTTAATCTATATAAAACCATTTGAATGTATGATTTAAGAAATGAAAGTTGTTCTGTACTGGAAAAACAATGTAATGTAGTTTTATCTAAATAGAACCGTTTGAAGGTGTATTACACCGTAAACCAAATGTGTTGTTGTTTCCCATGTGAGCTCTTATAGCCATACTATGACTAATATGCCTAATGCGATGTTCTTCAGGCGTCCGAATGTTAACGACATTTGTCACCCCAACCCTCCTGATCCAACTGTAGCTAACAACTAGGGTGCAGGATTCTCAGTCACATATAGATCTATATATAAGTGTCTCATTCTACCTCCAAGGAAATCTGGTTATAATCCAGGTTTTTTGTTGGTACTTTACTAAGTACTTGAAGACGTGTCTCACAAATAGCTGATTCAATGAGTTTACGTGTAATGAAATGAAAAACCCTTTAGTAAATGAAAATATTACTTTTCCATAGAAATTTCAAAGTGTATAATAATTATAGTTTTAAATAATTATTTATTTGTCCCAAAAAGGATAAAATAGTGTGAATAATCCATAAACTATACATATTATAGCTTATAAAAATTGTTTCACTGAAATGATGAATCCTTACTATGTACCATATTATATATATATATATATATATATATATATATATATATATATATATATATATATATATATATATTTGTAGAATAACATAGTGTATTTGTATTTTGTTTATCGTAGCGTTGCAGTTTTAGTCAAAACCTTGTATGTATATGTTTCAGAAATTTAGAAATAAAACTATTACATAAATTTAGCATCTTTGTATAAATGGTAAGAAAATGTATGTAATCATTTCGTATTTTTAACACAAGTTTTCTTGTGTGTTACTTGTATTCCCCCCTAAAATATTGAAAATCTAGAAAAATGTTGGGGGTATGAACTCACCTCGAGTGTGTTCTTGGCTGGATAACAAAGTGATGGCGATGATCTTCAAGCTAACACACTTGAAGACGGTCATAATCTAATAGTTTTTAACAGACAATATCGTGTGTAAATTAGTTGGACTAACATGAAAGTGTTATAAAAATACTAGATTATATAAGGAATACTTACAACAATTCTAAGAATTAGCCTTGAAAAATAGCTTTTGGGAATTGTTTGAATATGTTTCTAGGAATGTTTGATGATGTTCTTGGGAATATGTATGAAGATTTGAAGATGCATTATGTTGATCTCGTTTCTTTGAGAGGGAAGTGAAGGAGTTTTGAAGATGTAAATGAGAATTGTGAGGATGTTTCCGGCCTTATATATAGATAAGGTGTGATAGTGATGTGATGTTTGCATTGGTATGTGCAATATATCACATTGGGAGAAGGATCACCACTTTAAAGTATTGATTTAGGTCCAAGACCCCAACCGAGAACACTCTGAGCCACCGAAATCACAAGTGAGTTCGGTCCAAGTGAAATTGAGAACCCAAGGTCTTCGGTCTAGAGGGATTTCGGTCTAGGAGGATTTCAGACTAGTCATGATCTAGGTCTAGCATGTGACTTCGGTCTAGAAGATTTCGGTCATGGGAAGTGATTTCGGTTCTAAATGATCTACAAATGGTGTTTCAGTTTTGAACCACTTAAAACTCAAGATTTTCAGTCCTAAAAATGAAAACTCCAAATTAGCAAGGTGTAAAAGTGTTTTAAGTCCTATCTATTAGCCTTTCGTTTAGCTTGCTTGACTTTTGTTGGCTCGAAATTGTCGGTTGTCACAGTAGAGATGTATTGCAATTCATTGCAACATTACTATGCTTTCTAAAAAGTTACACGGTTTTGTTGAATGTAAGATTAATACACGCCGTAATTGGTAGATGTCTTGCTCCCCGGAACACATTACTCATACTCTCAGAGATATTTGTTTTCAAGATACCCCATCTATGATTTTCATCATATAAAAGACACCACTGAATTTTATTGAGTTGTTTTAAATACTGCCCAGCTTCAAGTTTGACTTTTTTCACTTCTCTCATATTTGTAACAAACTTCCTTTTTGTGTGGTGCTCCCAATGGTCCAACATAAATTTTTAAGACTAATGTTCTTGTACCTTTTCATGAAATTACTTATAATGTGTCGAAGTGTGACATCCCCATTTTCACGGCCAGAAAAGACCGATTTGTTTATGCTTTATTTAAAAATCAGAGTAGCATTTTGAAGAAAAGTGTTGTGGAATTTGTTCCCAGAAAAACATGATAAATACGTTATCAAAGCATTTCCAAAGAAATGCATTTTTATTCATTTTAAAACATTGGGATGTCATCATCAATACGGAAAAATAAGCATAAAAAGAACATACATTCATTATTACTAGTGATTTATATCTCCTTAATCCCTTAGTGTAATATAACCTCATATCGACACCTGTGATACAAATAAACTGAGTGGGTCAGGTTTGGAAACCTTGTGAGTACATAGGGTTTTCAACCCACAATAATATAATTATTATGTTTAATCATCAAAATTTTAACCCAATTACCCATCCCTACTATGTTCTTTATTCTTAAGGGTCTACCCTAAGAATCTGTTATTCCTCGTTCATTCATTCCAAAGGATTATCCTAAGGAATAGGCACGAAGTCCATCGTCGCCCGGGTTTATACAACAGGTACTAAGTCCACATTCGCTAGGGTTTATACAGCAGGCACTAAGTTCATAGTCTTCAGGGTTTATAAAATAGGCACTAAGTCCATAGTCATCAGGGTTCATACAATAGACACTAAATCCATAGTTGCAAATGTTCCTCTATATCAGCTTTCATACCTCATCATTCATCTACCCATGTTATACCCAACATATTTTGTAGATATAAAATACATATACAGTTTAAATCATTTAAAACATGCATAAAATCGTTCATCCAACATAGATATCAAGACACAGATAATATGCACACATAGCACGTAATTTGTATTAAATACTTCATATCTATGTCTAAGATGAAAGTAACTTTGCACTCACTTGTCAAAGTGATGATTCCAAACTCGGGAAGTGCTTCGCTTCTAACGATTCTATTTTCTTTCGACAAAACCTAGCATCATTATCGCTAAATTTTAGTCTAATATGTATTGCGACTAATTATTAGTCTAGATTCATCATTAACTCAAAGTCTACTTCATGATCTATCAAGTAAGGAACAACCAGATAGGATCATATCGGAGGTAGGGTCCATTTAGCATACGAAGTATACTGTTTGGAAATTCCACTTTAAACACCTACACCTCACTTAATCACAGCCTAGTCATCATCCCCGTAAGTAGATCAATCAATATAACGACTTTGAATCACTGATAAACCTGATTCTTAGGTTCAAAATAACAATATTATATTTATATATAATCTATATTTAAAGTAGGGAAGACATATTTCACTTTCAACGTCTTTTGTTAAAAACTGCGATCCGCTGGAGCAGAGCTTCTGAGCCAAAAAGCTCTTTTTTTAGAGCCTTCGGGAGCTACGGGGCTTCCTTCTAGTGCTAGGGCGTACCCTAGGA